GTGCCTAAATAACTTGATCAACCTTGTGATGGGGAAGGAGGGAACAAAGGGAACATCCTGGGTATCCTACAGATGTTTAATTTACAAATTAATTAAAATTCATGTCATAGGAATTATCCCTACATCATTCTCAGGACATTTTAAGGAGAAGAATTCTATCAATGTGTGGATTTACAAATGTAATGGACTAACATGTTGAATACCAGCCTCCTGAAATCCAGTAGGGGTCTGCACCCAGTGCTTCAAATCCCACACAGATATGCACAGCATTTCTCCAACCTCCCAGGGCTTCTGCATCAGTCTGAAAGAAGAAAGAACAGCTGCTACTGTAAGCATATACCCATTAAAGTTAATTTGCTTTCTAAAGCTGCACCATCATTTTCCAGCTTTGCACAAAGGCCTAAAAACAACAGGCCACTTTAATGACTGTCAGAAAAAGGCTGTGCTCACAGGTTTAAAGCTGTTCTTTTGAGCCATTTTTGAAGAACGCACAGTGCCTTTCAGATCTGTTGAACTTCTGTTCTGAACTTCTGGCAGATACATTAGGATGTTCATGATCTGAAGCAGCTGTCATTAATTTTGCGATCTACGCTAAGCGATCCTGTATCACACCAGTTTCATACATGCTGATAAAGTATTCATTTTGTGATTTAGAAAACAAATACAATCCTACTAATTGGGATAAAATAACAATTTCACAAACATATGAATTTTATCAGAGATCTTCTCAAGCAGAGCAATCAATCAAATCTTATTCCACAATTTTGGATTGATTATCCAGTTATTTCCTTTAATGAGTAATGACCTTGTTGCTAAAAGTGGATTTTGCAGCCTTTTTATTCCTGCCATGAGATAATGTGATTTAGTAAGAATTAAATCCTTTGGTTATATCATTTCATTTATGTAATATAAAAAATAATAATCATTCAACATTGATATCTGTAGCTGAGGATAAATTGGCAAACATTCTTTTGAGTTAGATCTGATGCTTCAGAAAATATGGTCTCAGGGAGATAATCTATCAGAATTCATTCTTAAATCTAGAGCATAATTTGGAAAGAAACATTTTTGCTGAAAAAATTTCCATCAGTTGCATTAATACACACCCACACCCACTCCGAGATAGGGAATGGATGGGTGGATAGATAGATAGACAGACAGACAGATATAGACAGATGATGAGAGAGAGAGAGAGAGAGAGAGAGAGAGAGAGAGAGAGATGAGAGGGAGGGAGGGAGAGAGGGAGAGAGGGAGAGGGGGAGGAAGGGGGAGGGGAGAGAGAGAGAATTCCCCCAAATTTCTGTACAGCAATTTTTTAGAGATGAGCACAACTAGGGTCTACAAGCCAATTCCTCCAGATGGCCATGTAGATGTAATAGTGGAATTTTTTGAGTATGAGAATGGATGGACACTTTCAAAACATTGCATAACCCATAACCCATCTCACCTATCATATCTCATAACCCACCTATCATATCTCATAACAAGTAACAACCTTCTCTCTGGGACAAGGATCAGGAGGATCAAAAGGCATCAAAAGGGGGTCCTATTATAACTTATTCACTGATAAAAGAGGGCTAAGGAACATATCTCCAGTTTCCAAGATTCTGTAAGCTGTTTCCAGGCAATAAACCCGATTAATGAGACTTTACATTTCTTGATTGTGAACTGCTATTAGGGGTTTGACATCATTAGATGGTAGTCCAAGAGATGTTTGCTGAATATTGATGTGCTTAGCAAATCACACACAATTAAACAATACAGGCCATTTTATTAATGCTGCATTGATTAACAAAATAGTAAATCACAGTGGGAAATGATACTTATGCTCCCTTGTTGCAAGCAATTTATAGACCACAGATACCATAGATTGTCCATATGACTTTTCTCTGTGATTGCTTGCAACAAAAGATTTACAGACAGTGTGGATTAGGAAACTCTTTCCACAGTCCACTATGGGGAGGGGGGGCTGATGCTTGACTGAGTGGTCCTTATATATCTAATATATCTAATACCTATCCAAAATACACCCTTCCCAAAAACATTTTAGATATATCTCAATTGCAATCCACTCTTATTTGTCTTCCATGATCATGTTGTATCATTGACTGTGATCAGTTTAAAAATTAAGTTTTTGATCAGCATGAACATACCCAAGAAAAATGTTTCCTCTTTCTTATTAAAACACTCCCAGTATTTTACAAGAAAATGGGAAAATACAGGGATATTCTAGAGATACTAGTATAGTGTCTTTTAAAGACACCGATCATGGGTAGAACTGCCAGCAAGCAGAAGCCCAAACCCAAATAAACCAACTTTATAGTCCTTCCTTTCTTTTACTTCTAACATTTTTGATATTTGGGTTCTTTTAAATAATGTCCTAGAATTTGATTTATTTTCATTTTTTCTTTGTTCTTTCTCACAAAATTTTCCAGAGTTTTAACATATCATGTTTAGTAAATCTAATATGGGGAAATTGGTTTATTTGCATATCCCTTTTAATTATTAAGACATCAGCTGGTTTCTTTTATATGTTCAGTGTAACATCTTTTCCCATTGAAGGTTTTTCTGTGTTAAACTTAACAGTACAAATAGCATAAACATATATTTGTGTTGTTTTTTTAAAAAACCTATTTATTACTTATCTTACCTTCTCCAGAATAACTTATCAGGTCTTGGTTCATTTCCCTTCATTTCCCTTCAATTTGGAGTACAGCCAAATTTGGAGGGCATTTCAAGTGAATCACTGTAGCAAAACAAAATGGGAGGGAAGAATCTCTTGGATGCAGAGACCAGCATCAATCAGGATGCTAGAATGAGCTTATAAATCCCATGAAATATTATATTGTTCTTTTTTTAGTTCCTCTTCCTTTCCAGTAAATGCACCCTTTAAACATACTTAAGTTTAAACATAAAGTTTATATTTAAACCTGGTTCATTTCCCCCCTCCCACAATAAAATATGACTTCAAAGAATGACTGAGAAGGGTTTAATACAAAATATTTCAGTGCTAGCCAGCTACAAAATCCATTATCAGATACTACAGACTTTTTAGCTAGACTGGTTGAAATTGAAATGATAAATATGAGGCCACGCACAAACCAATTTTTGAATATTTTTCTATTCATCAGGAATCAAGTGACCTGAAGGGCAAAATGGACTGGGGAAAAATCAGGATGTATATAAGTGGAGATACAGTGAGGGGGAAAATGTTTTTAATGCTATTATTAGTATTTCAAGGGATTTTAAAGATTATATGCCTTTTTCCTTTGAGCTGTTTTAAGTAGATTAGTCAAACTAAGTGGATTTTAATTACCCAAGGTGAAACTGATCTGGGAGCAAAGCCTGACACCCATCTATAATTGAGGAAAGATTCATGAAAGCATGAATTAATTTGATTGTACCAATATGAGATAGTTGTTACAGAATGACATTTGCCATATGCTGGTGTATTGTCTCCTCACAAAGCACCATTAGGATACTGCAATTGATGGAAAGAATCTATTCTGTAGGGCTGAAAAAAGTCTGGGCAGACATTGGGAAGTACAATTTCCTATGTGTAGTGCAATATGAAATAGACTTTGAAACAAACATTCTGCCCTATTTTGTCTTGATGTAGTATACATAGATCTTTCTCACCAAGAAATATCCTAGTTCCTCAATGCACCTACCAGGACTTAGAATTATCATAGCAAATGCTGCCTCCCTACAGCTCATCTGTAATAAGATTTGGACTTTCTCTCCAAGATAGTTTTCTACACTCTGCCTTCTAATTAATTTTCAGTTGGTTCCATTGTTTTTGGATGAGAATTATTTCAAGAGTATAGAAACATGGAAGCACATTCATGTCACACTGAGTTGCAAATACATAATTTTTTTGTAAGAATGAACAGCACTGCTATGATTGATTGAACTGGAACTGAAAAGTGGTTTGTTTATCCATTCCTACTAGCAGGAGGAACTAAGTGACATCAATTGACAGTGGGCATCTATTCATTGCTCAACCCTGAACCCTGAAGAAATGTTATTGTTGTGATCAATTATGCATTTTGTTTGCTTCTAATATCCTATTTCCTATTTAACATCTATTGTGAAACTGACAATTTAAAAACAACATTCTTGATGTTTCATAGCTTTGGAACATCTGTTTGAAGATATTTTATATATAGAAACCAAACATCTGTAAAACATTTTAAGGGCCCACTACAGAATAATATTTCACTGCACTGAATGAAATGGCTTCTACCTAAGCTGGAGGTGTGAATCTATAGAACTTTCATACTTGCTCTTTTTCTGTTTTGGCAGAAGACTTCTTCAGAAAGATATATGACATTGGTTATGAATGTGTGGGCTATCATTAACAGAAATATAAGCAAAACCTTTCAAAGAACTGTGTCAAGGAAATATTACTGTTTACTGAAGACCAATTGCCAAATCGATGAATATATCCAAAATCTGAATCCAAGAGATGTATATAATGAACCTTTACCTTTCCAACCTCTCATATGGACTGAATAAGCCCAATGTATTACTTCTAGGAATTCCATTGATATTTTTCCTTAAAGAAACACAATGTCACTGAAATTCTTAGATATACAGTATCTTACACCAACCTTGGCAACTTTAAGACTTGTGGACTTCAACTCCCAGAGTGCCTCAGCCAACTTTGCTGAATTAAAGCTGGCTGAGGAACTCTGGGAGTTGAAGTCCACAAGTCTGAAAGTTGCCAAGGTTGGAGACTCCTGTCTTACACTGTTATGTGAGGAAAGGAGATTCACATATAAAAAGAACAAAACCGAGTCATTTTGGACATCCAAAGTCACTCTGGATAGTGAGATGGGCAATGCTTAAATGTAATAAATAAACAAATAAATAAATAAATCTTCAGATCCATTATCCTGTCTTAGAGGAAAGGCTGTTCCATGGGGAAAAGACTGCTTGTTTATGCTTTACAGAACTCATTGACTTGTTTTCAAATAATCTTTCACAAATTATTATTTTTAATTAATATCCTGTTATATATGTTTTCCCCTTCATACTATCCTCTTAGTTCCAATCATATTTTGGGTTGCTTGTCAAAATCATTCATTCATACATATACTTGCAACATGAATGAACAGGTAACCATGCATGCATTTAAAAAAAATGCAAATACATTCAACATCTTAAAAGCATATGTAAAATTGTAACTAGGTCTAAACATATTATTTCCAACATTTCTAGAATGAAAGGTGAGGTCCAATGGAATATATTTTTACTGCTGGAATTTTTATCAGTACAACAAGATTTTTGTGGGGCAGAGAGAAGATGAGTGGCTGTGTTGTCTCTTCTGAAGTCTTCTATATCTTCAGTGTTTCATTTTACTTTTTGAAGGATTGAGGAAACCACCCAAAAAGATTTGAACTGGTAGATGGGGAACCAGTAAAGGAAAGGTTTATTGCAAGCAATTTTGGATTTCATTAAAAGTTCTTATTTGAAAGTTATTTATGGGACTCTTCTGAAAGGGGGAAGACAAATGTTATAGATTCATTGCTATTGTTTTTCATCATTGTGGCTAAATTACAAAAATTTCCTAAATACACATCACTTTGTTACAAACACAATTTCCTTATAAATAGAAACTTTGGAAACAAATATATATAAAACTAGTTATATTTTACAGAATTGATATAAAATCAAATATTACAATGTCTTTTAGAAACCAGAATGTCTTTATTTTATGTTGCCTGGTTTTCCTTGTTGTGGAATTCATATACGACCAGATATTGATTCTCCTGAAAAACTGAAATGTTGTTGTATCGATGAAGAAATGAATGTCTGTGTCAAAATTCCACTATCCTTTCTTTTAAGGACAGGACGGTTAACTTTGGTGCGTGTATGTTGCCACTCAATCCCAACATTAGAGTAACAATATAAGATTCCAACAACAGACAATGTTGCCCAGGGCCAACCTGTAAAAAAAGAAAGAGAGAGAGAGAGAGAGGGAGGGAGGGAGAGAGAGAGAGAGAATGCATAAATTCCTACTGTCCTTATTTGAAACAAAAGGCAGAGCTAGTAAACATAATTAAGCTAAAACCTGTATCTACATAACATGAATCAGGTGAGGCTTCATTTAAGGCATGAAAGTCAATTAAACGTACTATTAATTGTCCTTCAATTTTTTTAAAAATCAATACTGATTACAGCTGCCAAATATTTTTTTCTAAAAGGGGCTGCTGTTAAATGATAAATCTACAGGACAAGAAGAAGCAACCTAATTTTGCCTTTAAAAATCATGATATCCTCCTTCCTTCAGGTCATATTATTCAGAATCAAGTTGGAATTGCCTCTAGTTGAGATGGGCAGCATGTAAGTTAAACTAACAAACAAGTCATTTACCGTATATTTCCTCTCAAAACTTCATCTAGATTAGAAGGCTGCCCTGGAATTAAGCTTACTGTCACTTCAGTATCTGGCCTAAGATCACACTTCTAGATCTGAATGTCTATGGAGATTCTCAGTCATCCAAGTATCTGAAATATCTAAATTGTTCCTTTAAATTTTTGATTCTGTTTTCTACTTCTGCTAGTAATTCATTAAACAGTTTTAAAACCTGTAAGTTGCTTTGAGACTCCTTTGGACTATAAATTATTTAATTAAATTGTTTTGATTGTTCCAATTTAATAATCTTTGTAGCAACGCTAAGCAAAGCTTCTGAACATTATGAACAGTCGGTAATGTATGGTTTACCTCCAGCCTGCTCTTAATACCAGGCAGAATGAAGTTGTAGAGGACAAGAAAGCATGTGAGTGCTTCATTATTTTGTAACTAATCTGCTTACAGTTAAGTAAAGGTTAAAACTATTGCATGGCTGCAGTGGTGGGATTCAGATAATTTAACAACTGGTTCTCTACCCTAATGATTTCTTCCAACAACCAGTTCACCAAACTGCTCAGAAAGTTAACAACCAGTACTCTGGAAGTGGTGCGAACTGGCTGAATCCCACCACTGCATGGCTGCCTACTCAGAAGTAGGCAATCTTTTTAGTACACTAAACTTTGTCATTTGTTTGTGAGCCGGGAAAGAAAACTAAATTCAATTTAATTTAAAAGCAATTGAAGTTATGTTAATCAAATGGAGTCAGTATGATTACTCTCTCCATTCTTCAATAATTTATCATCCTGACACAATCAATTTGGAGCACTTTTGGGAGAATGTCTGCAGGCTACCCCAAAGTTGTAGGAAATTGCACAAAGCCATGAGCTGTGTATCCCTTAGCAAACATTCTGCCTTCTAAAGAATTTGAGGAAAGAAAAAAAACCAGCCATGACAATTTCCTATTCTAATTATAGCCAAGATTAGGGAAATCTTTTTCCCCTGGAGTATTAAAATTATGTTAAACAAGAAAGATGCATGAATCTCTATACACTAATAAAGTAATAAAACAGGCATTTGCCTGTTTTATTCACTTTACTCAACTATGCAAGTTTAATAGATAACGGAATTTGACTCCAGACTGAAATAATGACAATTAGACAAAGACAAATTCTAAGCTTTTATACAGTTGCCTCCTTTCCAGCATTTCTTCCCTTCAAGGCTATAGAAGACCCGCCACATATTAGTTAGAATTATATATAAGGCTTTTCTAAAAACTGTTGACCAAAACGTTTATCAAAAGCCATTAAAGAAGTTAGCAACCAAAGCAGAAAGGGGGAAACCTTTTAATGGACTGTAAGTTAAAAAAAAAAAAAAGGAAAGTAGAGAATAAGAATAAATGCTTTTTCCCTCCCTGGGAGAAATAAGCAGTAGTTCTTCCCAAGAATGTGATGGGTTGATTTTTTTAAAAATGTGCTTCTCAATGAACTAAAAATAGTACTAAAATAAAGAGATGGCAAAGGTTCCTTATCCTACCAAATTGTTCAGGTTATTAAAATAAAAGTTTGTAAATCTCTCCAAGAACCTCTGCAAAGAGGATTATTAATCCCTTGATGAATGTAGCAATCTATGTATGCAAAAAAAGAATAGTTAAAGCCACCAGTTTAGCAATTGGCAGTATCCCATCAGTTGATAGGACTGATCCATTAGACTTATTTATGTAATTGAATTGACATGAAATCAATTCATCAGACATGCCACCTCACAGCCTTTCTTTAGTTGTCTCTTTCATCTTCCTCTGAATGGAAAACATCGTCCAAAAAAGATAAAGCGTGGAGTGAATCAATCAGGTGACTTTTCTGACTTTGGCAATCCCCTAAGACTTTAGAAGGAATTTAAGCAAAACAAACTTTTTTTAAAAAATAATTCTCTGGATGAAAGAGTGGGAGGATGTACAAACACACACACAAAGGATGTGGGGCTCAAACAGCAGAATGATAAATGTAGTCCATTTTAGACCAATATATCATTATAGGTTTGCTTGCCCAGATCTGCAAGGACTAAATGTTTTGCATATGGCAAAAGCACTCTTGAAATAACTGATGCTGATGCAGGGGTCGTGCAGTCTTGTGTTCTGATTATAGAGAAAGGTACATGATGTCATACAAACATTATCAAGATATAAATGTTTTGGAGACATCATCTTAGTTTTTCTCCATATGTTATGTCTCCTGTTCTTCCCTCAAACTAGGACCAGAACACTTTTCCTACCTGAAATGCTAAAAATGTTTTCGTGTGCAAAATCCAAAGAAAGAGCTGTACCTTAACAAATTATGCGGTAGGTGGTCAACTTAATGTGCAATTATACATGAAGGTAAGGTAGTCTCAGATTGTATTTTGCTGGGTACTTTGTCTGGATGTATTCACTAAACTGGGCTCTACAGTAGAGACGGCAGACAGAATATATATATTTAAAAACAAATAATAATTTCAGGTTTCATAATAACCTTTTGTACCTTTCCCCAGAGGTGGGATTCAGCCAGTTCGGGCTGGTTCGGGTGAACTGGATGTTAAATTTACATCTGGTTTGCCGAACCAATAGTTCAACTAACCAGCTGGCCCTGCCCACCCTGCCCTTCCCCTCCCAGGAGTTTCCACGTGATCCATTTTGGATGCAGGTAAGTGGAGAGTCTGCGCGGAGGCTCTGGGAGGGAGAAAAATGGCCCTCCCAAAGTTCCGGATATATTGATATATTGATTCTGGAAACAGGCCTGTTTCTAGCTTCTGAAGGGCCTCTGGAGCCCAGGAAGGCCATTTTCCAGAGGCCCGAGGGAAGTCTCCAGACTCTGGGGAAGGCAAAAAATGGCCTTCCCTGAAGTTCTGGAAGTCCAGAAACGGGCCTGTTTCCAGGTTCTTGAGGGCCCCCGGAGCCCAGGGGAGGCTGTTTTCACCCTCCCAGAGGCCCGAGGAAAGCCTCTGGACTCTGGAGAAGGTGAAAAACAGCCCTCCCAGAAGTTCCAGTAGGCCATCCCACCATGACCATGCCACCCAGCAACCGAGCACAGAACTGGTTGTTGGGACTTTTTAATCCCTTCCCTGCCTTTCCCCCTTAAATGATACTGAAAAATTAGTGAGCATGCTGGGAGGCTAGGCAGCAGGAAGACAAAGTGACAAAATCAGCAAAGTGACAAAACAGATCTTGGAGAGGTAGAGGAAGAACAGAGAATCATGCTTTGTTCCCAGGCAGACAACTGTTTCATTTAGCACAATATTTTCAACTGACTGACAGAGCTCTTTAAAGTTTCAGATCAGTTTTTTTCCAATTCTACGTGGATATGCTAAAGATTGAATTTGAGACATGCTTGTAAAAGCACAGGGTCTCATTATTGAGCTATGACAGGCTTGATTATTTCACTTGGTACAATTTCTTTCTTGGTTTTCCCAGCAAAAATAAAGAGGTGGTGGGGGGAGAAGGTGCTTATTTATTTAAAAGGACCTCTGCTAAAAGGGTTATTAATCCCTTGATGAATGTAGTAATCTATGTGTGCCAAAAAAAACAGCTAAAACCACCAGTTAGCAAACAGTTGATAGGAAGAACCATATCCTCCACCAGGTAACTAGATACCGTGTTTCTCAGAAAATAAGACCGAGTCTTATTTTCCTTTAGACTTGAAATTAAGCACTTTGAGCTTATTTTTGAGGGGTCTTACTTTTTTTTGAGGTGCAGCAGGCCAGACTCGGTGACCTGCACCTGCCGTGGATGCACCGTCATCTCCATTCCAAACCTTCAGCGTTTGGAATGGAGGCTTTTTGGTGAATGGGAAGAAAATGGGGAGGAAGATTTTGCCGCCTGTCATCCTTTCCTCAGTCTGTGCTGAGTTTGAGGAATGGATGACAGGCAGTAAAAAACCCCTTCCCCATTTTCCTCCCGTTTGCCAAAAAGCCTCCCATAACCCTCCCAAAAAGAGGGAAAAAGCAAAGCAACTGGCTGCAGAGCTGCCGGCTTTGGGGAAGCCGTCCAACAAGCAGAAGTGCTGCGCTCAGGAAGAGAAGGGCAAAAGCGGTATTTGCACTGCCCCAAGGGGCCAGCAGGCTGAAGCTGCAGCCGGACAGTTGCCTCCTCTCCATGCCACCACTCATGCTGGCCACGCCCATCCCCTTGGGCTTATTTTGGGGGTAGGGGTAATATTAGGCCCAACCCTGAAAATTATTATGGGCTTATTATTGGGGTGCATCATGTTTTCGGAGAAACATGGTAGATGTTGGGGTAAAACCTTTTCTCCCCTAGGAAGTATGAATATGATTATTCTGGCTGATTTGGAATATGGGCTCATGGGTAATGGGGTTATTTTTCTCAGAACCTGAGAGACAAGCAATGCATCATGTATGTATTTATTCATAAATAGGTTCTAGTTTTACACTCAGAAAAATCTGTAGAAGACTACAGCCAAGTGTTCTGCTCTATGTCTGCACTGACTTAAGGTTGACTTTAAGAAGATAATGTGTATTCATATTTAGGAGAGATGACCTGCCTCTGGAAAAAGATAGCAGAATACAAACTATTGTTTAGATTTAGACCAAATTAGAATAATAATAG